GGCTAGAACTGGCTCTAGCCGAAACCGGTTGAGGGAAGCCAGACAGCCATCACCAGGGTTAGCCTGGCTATGGATTCCTCTTGAGCTTTGTTGCAGATCTTTCGAAGAGATACTCTTGGTGTTGCAGAAGAGTAATTCTGAGTAATTTCCGAGTTTTCACATATTCTGGCGGGTTGTATTTTTCAGCAACTTGCTTATGTGTCGCGTGCCGCTGATTTCAGTCGACGCTGTGATTAGCCTTCGCTCTTTCCAATCCAATCCAAGCGATGAGTTTATAAGTTAAGAAATAACTCAACCCCGGCATTGGTAATTTGGACTCTCTAATGTCGAGAAACGTATGCGGCTGAAAGAATCGATCCGCCATATCCGAGGGCTCTCTGAAGCAGACAATCGTCCGCAGATTGCAGCTGTGTGTGTGTGTTCTGGGAGGAGGAGAGAGAGAGAGAGAGAGAGTCTGAAGCAGAAAATCGTCCGCAGATTGCAGCTGTGGAGAGAGAGAGAGAGAGAGAGAGAGAGTCTGAAGCAGAAAATCGTCCGCAGATTGCAGCTGGGGAGAGAGGAAGAGAGAAAGAGAAAGAGAAGGAGAAAGACTGAGAGAGAGAGAGAGAGAGAGAGAGAGAGAGAGAGAGAGAGAGAGAGAGAGAGAGAGAGAGAGAGGTGGGTAAAGGAAGAGGGCACACTGACTTTGCTGAATGAATTTGTACACAATGCAGGGCAGGTTCGTTCGATAGAGGTTGAGCGTATTGAGACTCGTATAGTCTTCCAACCAGATCCGCCACACATTCTTCTTGTTCGAGATTAGATTGCACGGTGAAAGCTCGTCACCACTACGTCAGGTACAATTACAAGTCCACGTGGAGCACTTTCTGTGCGGAAACGTGGCAAGCTGTCCTCTTGAGATTCGTTTGATTGCCACGCGATCACCGTCGATATTGTATACAGGCGATCGTTCAGTATTGTTTGCAGTCCGGCAAAGTTTGTCTCTAGTTAATTCTGAAATCGAAGGTATAAATAAACAAAGGAGGAAGTTTTTGACGTTATGGCTTTGGAGGCACGCATGCTTGGTGGCTTTATCAGTTGCTTGGGGATCGCCCTGGTGTTCACCGGACTCTCTGGGGGAGGGATCTGGCCGGAGAAGGCAGCCGCCTGCGACAAATTTCTCATCACGGTTGTGCTATTTATAGCTGCAGGACTGTTCTTGAGCGCGCTGGTGCTCTGCCTCTGTGGGCGACACGTAGGCGAAGCCTTGGTGTTTGCTTATCTCCTTCTCCTCCTCTTGATGTCATTCGCAATCTTCGGCCTGGTGGTGACGAAGGACGGAGGGGGTGGACACGTGATCAAGGGGAAGGGATATGCGGAGTTCGACCTGGGGGATTACCAGAGGTGGCTGCGGCACAGAGTCCGAACGAAGGCATTGTGGAAAGGAATCAAGAGCTGCCTCATGAAGCGCGGAGAGTGCCAGAAACTGTCTCATCAGGCACCTGACCCCAAGACGGGTATCGTCCAATTCAACGGACTGCAGTCGGGCTGCTGCAAGCCGCTTGATGTCTGCGGCTTCAAAGCGATCAACGTGAGCAGCTCCATCTACGACATATCTGCACCTCCGTCATCTTCCGCCGCCATAGCTGCGGAAGGGGATTGCTCGCGGTTCGTCAACGAGGAGGAGAAGTGCTTCAACTGCGACTTTTGCAGAGCTGCGTTCTTGGACACGCTGAGTAGAAGCTGGAGGACAATGTCTATCATCAACTTTGTGATTGCTTCGCTTGTCGTTTCATGCGGGCAGAATGACGTGCAGTTATCTTGAAAGCTTCGTGACTGGGAGCGGAAGGTGGCGGCACTGGCGGGGGATTCTACCTGGTGGCGGGGGCTGCGCAACCGTGAGGGGAAGGATCGCGCGCGCGCGCGCGCGCCTTGTTCCGCGGCACAAGTGCGAACGTTGATCGCCCAGTAGAAAACGAGTTGCTCCGGGGCGATGATTCCGCTGCGCCACGTGGGCGCGGAAGATGGGCGGAAGATGTCCTTAGTCAAGACTATTGCGCTGCGCAGCCGTGGGGAGGAGGCGATCCTCCATGGCCACTGGGAGAATGACCATGGGCCTTGCGCCACTACTGACGACATGGACAAATTTAAAGACAAAAAGAAATGGCGGTGTACGTATCTTCCCATGATACGGCGGATGATGCATTCTCCGTTTTGCGCATTGGGTGAGTAGAGCAGCAAAGCCCCCATGACATTGTTTTGACGAGTCGGCATTTCCATCGCATTGTGGGAGTCTGTCGGGATACCAATCACTCCAGTCTGTCCAGAGATAAACGGGAGCGCAATCCTTGTCTGCCGCGTGCGTGCCCCGACATCGCTGCTTCCCCGCTCCGCTCCGCTCCGCTCCTCTTCGTCGCAACAGTCGTGAGGGTGGGCCGCGCTCCACTTACTCTCGAAATGTGCAATTTAAACGAGAGTGAATCTTCCGCTAGAACATGGAAAGATGCACCGCCATGGTTTTTGTCTTTTCTGCATGTCGAGAGTCGTGGACCGACGCCCAGTGACTGCTCTCCGCATGGTATGAGCGGTCGAAATATACGTTTTTTTTTTTGTTTTTTTTTTTTTAAGCGTACTCAGTTCACGTCAGCTATACTAGTACTCAATCCTGATAGGTAGGTAGACACACAATGGCCTTCGCTCCACTCCTCTCGACACTCACAAAACAAAGAAATCATGGCTCTGTATCTTTCCATGTTCTAGCGGAAGATTCACTCTCGTTTAAGTTGCACATTTCCAGAGTAGTGGAGCGAGTCCCAATCTAACTAGCCTAACTAGGTTAGTATAGAGCCACGTAGGACGTTGACTCGCTCCAATCTAACTAGCCTAACTAGGAAAGTATAGAGCCACGTAGGACGTTGCGACGTCACCGACGTGACAAGCTGCTTGCCAATGTCTTAGCGTCTGTGACCGCTTCCATCATCACGCACGATTTTTTTGGATTTTTTTTAATTCTTTTTTTTTTTTTTTTTGGGAAAAAGCGAGAAGTCCATTAAAGAATTTAAAGACCAATACTGAGGCCGGAAATCCTCACAAACAACCCGGTACGACTCAAGTCCATCATCACGTACGATCTAGCACACTTGGTAACTGCTCTCCGCACAGAATAGTTTTATGTCTTTTTTTTTTCTTTTTTTTTTCTTTTTTTTTTTAAGAATAGTTATATGTCCTTCGGGGACACGGTTCCACTAGCACACGAGTCATGGCCTAGTGCGACGCCTGCGACACTCCAGAAAAACCAAGAAAACTCCAGAAAAACGCAGAAAAGAGAAAAAAGAAAATTAAAGTGGTGACTTCTCAAGTCCCAAGGTGGAGACGAGCCCGACCTTTGGAAGTGCTGCAAAAGGCTGTGCCATCTTCTTGAAAGGTAGAATGGACAGTGGATGAATATATCCCTGGCAGAACGTAGCCAGATTCACTTCTTCCATCTTTCTTTATTGCCTGAGGGTGCACCTATGAAAACTGCTCCGTGACGATTGCAGTCCGAGTCTCACGTACCACAGAGAGGGAGTGGAGTCCCTTAGTGTGCCCGACAGGACTGCCTCCTGTGACGGTTCCCATGTTCAAGCGTGAAGTCCTTATATTTTGAGAAAGAAATGAAGTAATAAAGTACTCGAGGGGCTTTCTATTGACCGAGAAAGAAAGCACGTTCAATACGAACGACTTAAAGTACTTGATTTTTTTTTTTGTTTTCGACAACCACCAATCAAAAACAGACTTGGTATTTCTTTTCCCCACATCCTGTTATTCACCAAAAAAAAAAAAACAAGAAAAAGTAAATTAAAACACAAATTTTAAATATACAAACATCTTTATTTTGCTACCCTCGGATTTCGATGCAGCAACGGCTGGTGGATGTCCCCCGGACGTCCCGCAGGTGTCGCCGTGTGACAATAAACCTTACTTGGTTGCTAGTGGAACCGTGCCCCCGGAGATCCGTAAAAATTGGAACCGCCGTTAGATAGTGTAGTGGGTGGAGAACTGTTATAGACTTATAGTTTATGTTGAATGGACAAATAAAATCTTACGGTCTTCACCCGAATAGAACGCCCGGTCATTATCACTGCATCTAGACTTCCATTTCGACCAAATACAGCTATAATGACCGGGCGTTCTATTCGGGTGAAGACGGTAGTTGAAATTCACAACTGTTATTAGTCAGGACAGATGTCTCAGAGTGTGGTTCTCTTCTCGGTATCAGATTGGAAAAAAAACTAGGCCCCGTGTCAGATTGGTAAAAAGAGGCCCTGTGGTTAAAACTAGGCCCTGTGGTAAAAACAAGGCGCTGTGGTTAAAGATCAGAGGTGTGCAGGTAAAAGGACAAGAGCATAAGTGGTAGTGAGTAAGGTTACTTTGGTAAGCAAAACCGGCTGATGCTGCGGGGATATCTCCGGGTTGAATTGTGAGGTTCCCGGCGTCGATTTTCAGTGTTTGAATTGGCAATAAAGTGAGACAAAAAAAAATAAAAAAAATAAAATTGGAACGATGCAGAGAAGATTAGCATGGCCCCTGCACAAGGATGAGACGCATAAATCGAGAAATGGTAATCTTAAAAAAAAAAAAAAAAAAAAAAGTTATATGCCACTGGAGATCGTCTCGAGTACTACGAGTAGACAGTGCTCGTCTCATTGCAACACAGCGAAAGAAAGAGGCGAGTGCGGTCGGTCATCAGACATTTGCAGGCATTCTTTTGTAAAAAGGGACGCTGGGCCCGATTTCCAGCAGGTGATGCTCCCCACCAATAGATGGAGTCTCTCCCCCCCCCAAGTGTTAGTGGTGTCTGCTCTTATCAGCAGCACTAACACTGGCCGGAGTTAAAAAAAAAGAAAAAAAAGAGGCGAGTGCGGTCACTGCCGTCCTTTGATGGGGGGAGAGTGGGGAGCAGGGATTAGGTAGACCTGTGACGGGGGGTACAATAACTGTTAATTATGGCTGAATTTGGCACGAGTTTAAGGGTAAATCCAGTGATTGGCACGTGTTTAAGTGTAAATCCAGTGATTGGCACGAGTTTAAGTGTAAATCCAGTGATTGGGACGAGTTTAATTGTAGATCCAGTGATAATTATAATAGCTGAACCTGGCGCAAGTTTAGGTCTAAGTTCAGTGACGGTGACTGGGCAAAACGAGTTTTGTCCAGCGACATGGAATCCGTGTCAGGAGCAGTAATAGGGAGTGTTTTGTTGCCCCTTTTTTTTCTTTTTTTTCTTTTCTTTTCTTTTCCTTTCTTTTTTTTTTTTTTTTTTTGGACCCAGAAAAAACACACTCCGTGGCCCCTCCATTCTGGGGACACAAGAACAGAGGAGGGGGGAGGGAGGGGGGAGGGAAGGGGGATGGGGGGGGATGGGGGGAAGAACACGCGTGGCTGGGAGCCGGTGCCCTGGCGCTCAGATTCGGGGTGCCTAGCAGCACTCATGGCATTTTAACAGGAAGGAGAAGGGAGAAGGAAGCCAAGGAGGAGAGCTTGTGGGTACCAGGCTTTTCGTGATCAGCCCCTTCTTCCTTCTGTCTAACGACCTGTACGGC